GGAACATATGATTATCGTTAAATTTTTTCGTTTATATAGGCTGGGAAATACGTCTATACTACATGCTTTTGTGATAAGAACCAGCGATAACGAAGCTCGAAAAGGCAATAAGGGTAAAGAGCCCGTTGTTTCCTATCAGCGCCGTTATCAGAAAATGCCAGTTATGGAACTTTGGAAGCTCCGCAATTCCGGATCGTCGCTGTGTTAACCGATTTCGTTGCGATCGTCGGGCTAAAGGGTCCCATTCATGTGTCTATGACTCATTGCTCCGCATATTCACAGGCCTTGGCGTTTAGTTACATATAACAATGCTTTCTATGGAGGTTGAGGAGCGTAGCTCTTTTCCTAGAAAATCGTAACAAGTTCGGAGATCTCTCTATTTCTGGTATTTATATGATTTCAATATTCTATAAATCGGAGATTCGCTTGATAAAGTTTGGATCATTCTAGTAAGTTTCGAAATAAATAAAGCATATAAAGATAAGCTGAATTTATCTTACATTGTATAGTTAACAACATTACTCAGGCGAAGTTGTTTCTTCTGAAAATTTCTTACATTCTCAAATTTTTTACATAAGGTATGTGTTATGAATAACAAAGTTTGTAAGCGAAAACTCTACTCACGATTGACCTATTAAATAAGATTTCGGTGAAATGGCAGACATTGTTAGTCTTAACTTTCAAATCGATGGAAACAATAATGAAAATGAAGTTTTTACAATTGAAATTTCCAACGACAAAAAGGTTGACGCCCTTAAACCTATCGTAAAAAAACGGTTTGCGCCTTTATTTGATACCATTCCTTCTACTCAAATCAAACTTAGTTTAACCCCAAATGGTGGGTCTATGAAACCAACGGTTAGAATTTCTAAATTTTTTAATGGGAATCCTGATGAAAATGAAATTCATGTTTATGTAACCCCTTCCAATAACTAGATTTTTTTATCTACATTTGCACCATGACATATCAATGTATTTTACAATTTTATTTTTTGTATCCGCCTTAATACGGGCAAGTTTTTCATAATAATAAAACAACGACGTGTTAGGCGTGATTCAATGGTCTCATATCTAATCAGTTCGTGTAACTTCCATCGTAGTATATAAACCACCGATCACCCAAAAACAGATACGATAAAATTTTTCACTTGCATCGCATTACCTAGCTTCTATTAGCAGGATACATAAACCAGATTTTTCAAATTTTCACGTATAAAATAACATCATGTCTTCACACGCTTCTTCACCTTCATCGCCAGTTTCTACATCCTCTACTTTGACAGAAGAAAGGTCAACTCGCACGATGGCGGACGTAATTAAGAAGTATAAGACGGAAGAACTTATTGATTATTTGCGGAGGCAGGAAGATTTAGATCTCAAGGAATCTCATTTCAAAATTTTTCGGAAGGAGGAAATTACTGGCCGTGTTTTTCTTTCCACTACTAAAGACGAATATCGCAATTTAGGGTTTTCATTCGGAATAGCCTCCCTTCTTGCCGATTTCGCTGAAGAGCTTCAGGAGCAAAAGATACGTAGTTTCTCGTCGTACAAAACGCTGGAAGAATTAAAAGACGTGCCCCGAAAGTATAAAGTTAACGGTGAGGAGATTACGAGCATCAAGCAATTCAATCCGGGTATGTATTACCTTATTTTTCTTGGCATTTTTCCGGGACCGCTCGGTCTCGCAAATTTCTATTTTGGAAAATGAGCTCCGCTCTGGCAAAAGTGATCGGCAAAAACCGTTCCCTTGGGGAACGGTCGAACATAGGTTAAATGCTAACATTTTTTCTGTTGTATAGTATTCGAGGAAATCGATGACGACGACAAAGCACTTGATCAGTGCATGAATGAAATAACACTAAGACTTTCGAATCTAGAAACGATGCAAACTAACGCCAACGAAGCTACCCGCTGTGTATTTATCACATCTATACTAAACGCATCACTAGCAATCGTTCGAAGACTTACAAATGAGGAAAAAATCTACATGTCATATCAAAAAAACATTTCTGGTGAGGAGGCATCTGGACGTGTAGACTATGCTATCAAAGGAAACGAAGATCTCATGTGCATAGCTGAAGGTAAACCTCGTAATGTCGAAATCGGTTATCTCCAGAATATTATGCAACTAGAAAGTGCGTACCAAACAAATAAGAAAAAACGTACAGCTGATCAAGCATTTCGAGATGATGATTATGATTACCTCTATGGAATCGTGTCTACAGGTATATACGTGAATTTTTCTATTGTGGAACAGCTCTTAAGAGTGCCTTTACAAGGCATGGCTTCGCCCTGGAATTTTTCAGATCACATGAATTTAACTATCATTGGATTTATTTTTTAGCTACGGAATGGCATTTCATTATGTTTACTACTGATGGACTTTATTGTACCAGTAAGAGCGAATATCCAATTAATCTTTCTAAAATGGCGCTCAAAGAAGATCTTGACTCTATTCGAAAAGGTGTAAGACGGGTATTAGGTGTTATCGTTGGATTATTGAAGGATCGAATTAGTGTTGATAATTCCCCAGCCAGTAAGAAGGCTAGGATCAAAAAATTTACAGAATAATTGGTAGATTTTGTGCTTCATATGTACTTGTGTAATTTATTTTTTGCACAAATAAAGCAGACCAAGAAGATCATTTTTCCATAATTAATTTTAATACGTGATAATCAGTATATTTTCATTTGGGATCGTCATCCGAGATTCATTTAAGACCTTCATCCAATATTATCGATTCCATCAAAGGGCAGAATTTATAATATTGATCAGTGTGTTACTTCATAACCACAATATAAAACAGGTATGAAACTACTTATCTGGTTATCACCGTCATTATGGCCTTTTCTAACCTCAAATCTCTTGCTTATAATATCTTAAAGATCACAGGAGAAAGTATCGTTCAGGATATAGAAATTCCAGAGATCCCGAAATGTTCAATCTGTACCAAAGATATTCTATCAATTGCTTATAAAGCATTCACTACGCTCGAGTGTGGACATGTCTTCCACAGAGTTTGTATCGAGAAAAAAATTATGCATACAACACCAAGTATATGCCCTTCCCCTAACTGTGGTAAAAGCGTTGATGTTGTTGATGAGGGTTCAAGACGAGACTCTACATCTTCTCAAATAAGTGGCACATCAACCCTAGTTGACGAATTTAACACTAATCTTGGATTTAATTCACCACGAACTTCCTCCCAGGGTCAGGCAATGGATGTAGATGAAAATGAAGAAACAGAGCATCGGCATGAGCCAACTGAAGACCAAGTTGAAGAATCATCTGATTCTACCAGTAAAAAGCGGGCTAATGAAGCTACGGATAAATCAACCGAAAAACCTTCCGATAAAAAAGCCAAGAAAGTGACTAAAGCAGAGGACTCTATCGTATTAAAAAGACTTATCCGTGAGTTATCTTTCGATACCACTCGAATTTCTGAAATTAGGGAAAAGAAGGGACTCCATAGACAATCTGCACAAGAAGTAGAGGGTTCCAAAAATTTTTTCGATTTGTATCTAAAAATTTCAAAGGCGGAAGAACAAAACAAAAATGCACATC